GTGGCAACCCTATAACCAGCTCCATTACCAAAATCTCAGACATATTCTCAGCTCACATGTCCAGAGGCGACTGTTCTGTCCTGGTGCCATTTAAATTAATCCTTGGCAACGCTGTTAATTTGCTACCCAGGCGAGAGAGTGAACAGCGAGACCAGCTGGGAGGTACAGGGACTGGTGGTTCATTTGGAAGCACTGAGTGGTTAAACATGGAGGAGTACAAATGTTAGCTCCCCTCCAGTTTGGTGAAAATGATACAGCATTTTCCTTGCATCAGTTAACCAATCCTGTAAGGAACTCTCTGAGCCATTAAGAATCCATTGTCCTTGAGCTCGTCGCCGATTCCCTCCACAGGGCCCGTCTGCTGATGCTATTACAGCTCTGATTTGTCTGGAGGGACGCCAGCCACAGACACTGAATATTACAGATGTTCATGATGAGCATTCCAGAGGGTCTGCTCATCCAACCTGCTCACCGGGCCCCGGTGGCAACCAACTATGAAAGCAGGATTTGATTTGAGATTTCTGCAGCCACACAGAGGAATGGATGTGAATCTGAATGTCATCTGAGGGAAAAGATTATGCTCGAGACAAAGATCTGGTTATTCTGTCAAGTTGAACACAGCCTCAAAATGTATATTACATCAGGGGTTCTTAACTGGTGGGTCGAGACCCAAAAGTCGGTCGCGGACAGCTGGTCAAAATTAAATAATATATAATGTGAATCTCAGGTTGGACTTATTTTTTATTTTGAAAACACTGAGCATGATCTGAGAGCAGCTCTGTCTGCCCTCACCCCAGACTCTGAAACTCTCATCAGGAGTAGAGCACGCGCCCAACTGTCTCGTTAACTTCAACAAATGATCTGATTGGGCCAAAACTTCATTTTCAAGTAGTCCATCCATCCATCATCTATACACCGCTTAATCCTCACTAGGGTCATGGGGGGCTGGAGCCTAACCCAGCTGACTCAGGGCGAAGGCAGGTTCACCTGGACAGGTAACCAGTCTATCACAGGGCTACACTTAGAGACAGACAACCAAGCACACTCACATTCACACCTACGGACAATTTACAATCACCAATTAACCTCAACATGTTTCTGGACTGTGGGAGGAAGCTGGAGAACCCGGAGAGAACCCACGCTGCACGAGGAGAACATGGAGCCTCCCACCGGGACGCGAACCAGCGACCTTCTAGCTGCGAGGCAACTGCGCCACCTTGCAGCCCTTTTTGAGTAGTTTTGATATTTATTTTGTGCAGTTTTGTACATGCAGTTGTCATGGTCCAGTTACTATGCATGGTTATATGCTCTGAAATGCACGTTGCACAGGAAAATATACTGAATTCTTAAAAAAATTGGGTCGCAACTTAATGACCATGGGAACATGTGGGTCCCAGGGTGAGACCAGTTGAGAACCCCTGTATTACATCATTTGTATAGTGCTACAGATCAATCGTTAAGAAACAAAAAGCATCCCTAGCACTAGCACATCACATAACTGCAGTGTCTAACATTAGAGTTGAGGCGAGGACATCAGTTGCGTGTTTTATCCGTGTCTCCTCTGGACTGCAGGCGATCGACTAAATGTCAAAAAACAGGAACAACAACCAAAAAAAAAAAGCCTTAAACGCTACACTTTAAACACAGAAAAATGCCAAAAGGACAAAGCGTTATGATGCTTGGAAATGTTTAATAAAACTCCATAAATTTAAGTCTATACATCTGACAGTTTGTCACTATGAATAAATAAAACATTTTATCACAAAGGACAGGTAGGCATACGTTAACGTCTCCCATAGTAAAAATACAGTACTTCAAGACTACACGTGTAGTTATTCCAATTTCAATATCTAATTTTAATACAAGTGATTTATTCAATCTATAACAAATGGTCTAAAGTGCAAAAAGACGTTCTCAAAAACAACCAATATTTAAGCTATAAAAATGTATGTTTAAAAAGAAAACATTGGTCAATCATCGTAAGTTGCCTTCGGGTTTAATGTCCAGTGTGAACAAGAAGCACAATGATCCTAAGTGTAGCAGTGTGCCAGACTATGGTTCGTGTCCCAGTGCGCAGGCCCTCTCCTGTAGACGGGAGGGACCCACAGGTTTGGCCTCAGGGTGTGAGGGGGTCTGTTGCGGGGCCTGTAGCCGTAGGGGGGCCGCGGGAGGATCGGACCTTTCCCTGGTGCCATCTTTTTGTGATGCCAAGTAGGAGCAGCCGGATTCATGGTCTGAAAGAGAGACGACAATTGAATAGATAAAAATTACATACAGAAGCCCACAAAAATGTATGAAAAAAAAAATCACATTATCATAACCAGTGGGCATCAGTTATTCTCGTGGATTAATCGCAGCAGCTGGACTTGCTTGAAGACGTTCCACCTCTCATCCAAGAGGCTTCATCAGTTCTGACTGACTAGTTGGGAGTTCCACATACTTAACACCTGAGTTTCAATTGGGGGTTTGTTGCTCCTCCCCCTCGTTATGTGAGTCGTTAGTGCTCCCCCTGACACAGTGGGGTTCATTAGGGTTGTGTCAGGGGGAGCACTAACGACTCACATAACGAGGGGGAGGAGCAACAAACCCCCAATTGAAACTCAGGTGTTAATGGCTCCTTAAGGATATCTGGAAATCCCAACTAGTCAGTCAGAACTGATGAAGCCTCTTGGATGAGAGGTGGAACGTCTTTAAGGAACTCAAGCAAGTCCAGCTCCTACGATTAATCCACGAGAATACCCACGACCTGGAGAAGTGAGGATCTTCACAGACAGTCGGCATCAAGACTACACAAAGAACAGCATTCAAGTTTTCCATTCATATTGTGACTATGGTTGGACATTAGCATCCGCCACAGTAGAGGTTTGACAGAAGCATTGGTTGTACAAATGCACTCTAGTTTGTTTTTTTTCCCCCATATCCCAAAATTAGAGAAGTTCAATGGCTTTAACTGTTCTACACACTGCTGAGGGGCGTCTCTTCATTCAGAGCTACTCACGGATGTCTTGTTCAGGTTTGCATGTCATACCACAAGTCTAATCCTAAACTGGTTTGGCTCTTTTTTTTTTCCTTTTTAATAGCTTAAATTTCAGGTGTTTGTTTGTTGGCCAACGTCATTGAAGAAAAAGTGGAAAGGCAGACTGCAACAAATGCTTTTAAGGACCAGTTAAAATTAAAAGTGATCCAAGAGTTACTTAAAAGAACATTAAGTGTCAAAACAAAACCAAAAAGCTAAAGACAAAAAACAGAAAAACAAAAAAAACAATGACACTAATAGATCAGTATTTTTGTTGTAGAAAATGAATTTTAATTATTCTATTTAGTATTTTGGGATAATTATGTGAACTTTTTAAAAACTGATTCTTCTTCTTTTTCTTAAATGTTTTTAGGCTCAATGAGAAAAGAAACCTCAAATAAGTAAATCAAATAAGAGGTGACAGAGAGAGAGAATGTCAGACTTTAAGAGTTTTAATATTTACCCTTGGAAGTAAAAAAGCCTGTTTCTACCTCAACAATCACAACCTAGTACTATATTTTACATGCAGTTAAACGATCCAGTTACAAGATAAACCAGGCTGGACAGTGATGTGTTCTGCATTACCTGGTAAGCACAGTTCCTGTTGGAGATGGTCAGAGGGGAAGCACGAGTGCTCTCCTCGTCAGAAGAAGAACCTGAGTGGTAGTCAGACGTCACCCTCTCCAGAGCGCTGGTCACCTTCTTTGCAACGTCTTTGTCATCCTCGTCGTCGCTGGAGAAAGTGGCGACTGAGAAAAAAGGGTTGTGCTCACCATACCTAGTGATCGGAAAAGATGGAGGCAACACAACAGTGATGACTACTGATGGCCTAAACAACACATTCACATCCTTTGTTTATGCACCAACACAATAAAAACTAGGGGTGGGACTTTAATGCGGTAATTACGATGAATTAATTACAACAATAATAAAGCCTTAAAAAAATGCGTGGCTATCCAGGACTGTTAGTGCTAACAGCTCCGGTGGTTTCTTTGCTCGCTGCTTTGCTTTCAGGTGGTCCCGTCAGCTCGATGTGCTTCGGTGGGATGCAAACTGCACAAAACCACACTCTCGTCAAGGCTTCCATCAGACAGTTTTGTAAAATGAAACTCCATCAGGCAAGCAATGCACCCTCATCCTGTTCCTCCATGTTTGTTGTTGTTAGCGTAGCGCTGACGCAGCTTGTGCATCATGTGATTGGTGGACCATGAAATCAGGCGCTGGCAAACGCTCCGTGTTGTCTGGATGCAAACTAATTTTTATAACGCGATATTATTGCTGTAATTAATTATTCGTAACTAACGCTTTAAAGTATATTAGGGGTGTGACTTTAACGCATTATTTACGTGTTAATTAATGCGTTAAAGTCCCCCCACTCATCGCAACACATTTATTTGAATGACTTTCTGGTATTCCTGCCAATGAAACTCAGTCTCACCTGCAACAAACCTCTCCAGGGTCCACCCACAACGTGAGCTCACGAGGCAGTCCCAGGTCCCGGTACTGAATCCCACTTTCCTGGCAGGCTCGAAGCAGCTCTGGATCCTGCCTGTGGAACCTGTTCACTCTGATGCACCTGCAAAGCAAATAAAAACGATTTCAGCTTGGGGGCACCTAAACATAAGACGAACAGTCCCACTTACAGGTATCATCTGTACGTCAATAGAAGAGGGGCGGTACCTGTAGGCCTGTCCTTTGCTGGGATTTTCAGGGTACCAGTGACCCTTAAACTTCTCCTGCAGCGCGACAGCCAGTCTCTCAACAAACAGCTCGACCTTGTGCGATTCCAGCCTCTCCCCCTTTTTCACAAGTCTCTTCAGGAAGAACACCACTGCTGCTATCTCTCTCCTCATATTTCACATGTGTTTCATCACACCTGGACAGTCTCTGTAAGCAAACGAACTTTGGTCAGATGAGTAACAGTTTAATCACAGCTAACACCACGTGCTGGACATATTTAGCAGAATATGTTAACAATCAAGCCTAGAAGCTGCTTCGTGGGACACATTCTTAATAAGTAATGTTCTGACACGTGGACAGGAGATATGCACCCCTCAATATTTAGAACACATGCATTTGTTTACTTCATTAAAACACATCACAGACTTGAAAAAAGACTCTTTGTGGTGAATACACAGCCTGTTCTGAACATGATCCTGCTTAAACACATCAGCCACATAAGTACAGGAGGTTTTTGAATTCAAAATGTATATGAAAAGGTGCCACATGCACATTTAAGTGCCGAGTCCCCTTTGAATGTGTTCAAACAACAGTAATGCTCAAACACAAGCTGCACTCAGATGTTAAACATTTGCCCACATTTGACTTTGTGGGGCCACAATGAGAATATGTAATCATCTTATGTAACACACTTCAACACAGCGGGATTTCATTGTCCTTGTCTTTGACTAAAGCTCGTCGTGGATCTGTTATTAACAGGCACTACTAAATTATTACATGTTAAAGTTTAATGACAGCTCTAGTTAACCTGCTCAAGAGTTTTAAAAAGCCTTATTTATCTTTTACCACTGAATAGAGAATGTCAAAACTCTTGTTTTACCGATAAGTACAACTTTAAAAATTGTAATATCTGTCAAAATCACTTCTCCTCCAGATTCCCTTTGTGCCCTTGCGTCCGCGTGCACGTGGCAACAGCTGCTGCTACAGGGAATGCTTTTGTTTAAAATAATGAAAAAAACAACCCAGAAACCGTTTCACAGTTTTGAATCCTAAAGACAAACGTACTTGGGGCGATGCGATCCGTTAACCGCCAGTTAACGGAACATCTCCCAGAAAGGCGGGCTGTGACGCCAAGGTTCCGGTAATCCACGCACTGCCCCACTCCATAACACAGCCTACTGTACTGTTAGCCTAGCCAGCTAGCTAGCGACCCAGCTAGGCTAACCATTGGAATAGAAGACCCGATTGCCGTCGAAATGAGTTTGAAACTCAGCTACAGTTAGTATAAATATAGTTATAGCTTCACTGGTAGCTCTGCCCGCTCGGTGAATACATCGAAGCGCTATTCACACAATACAACGCTGTTAGCTGTAGCTACACAGCTAACGTGCTAAGTTAACGCGAACAACCTCATGTTGCTAACAAACACAGCAAAAAAAAACATCAATATAGCAGGAAAACATGAAAAAAATGTCATAGTATATGTTGCAGTATTGAGATATAGGACACATTATACGCAGTTACATAACACAATGAGACGCAGGGATGTAAACAGCTTCACGTACCTTTTTTTTACAGTCTCCGCCAGCGTGCGGGCTAAAATGAATGGCTGGGACAAGTTGGCAGGAGAAAAACACGGTCACTGACTCCGCCCTTCACAGCACAAACCCCGCCCATTACCAATTCCGATTGGCTCCGAGCAAGCCACCAAAGCGCAGTGATTGGTGGAGCCGCTGCCTGTCAGTGAGTGAGTCACCCTCCCTGTTGTTGTGACTCATGCTGTCAGGTATGTTTTTGTTTGTTCCGATGGTTGCAACCGCTGATGTAACTTTACCGTAAATCATGAAAACAAAGCAGAACCAAGTTTGCACGCTATTCAGTAGGAAAACAGCAGTTAGTTGGCAAATTTCAGCGTATTCCACTCATTTTTAATACTGAGCGCACATTAGTCTCCGTAGTCTGAACTATTTATCACATATATTTATTATCTATATTGTACTATATTATATTACAATTATTTTGTTTTAATTATTATTTTTAATTTTTATAAGTTGTATAATATTTTATATATACTATATTATTTATTTGTATCATGTATGTTTCTCTACCGTTTGGTTATTACCATGCTCATTGCAAACTGTACATACTTCCTATTGGCTCATTTTGTAATTATATTTATATATTCTTATTTGTCTTTTATACTTGTATTTTTTGCACCACTGGACTTGTCTTTTAATTTCATTGTGTTGGGAGCATTTTTTGCTGGACAAACTGTACATAATAATGATTTATTGCAGCTTTACGACTAAACAAAATAAGTTTGGTTTTAACAACATCAAAACTGCACCACACTTTACCAGAATCAAAATCAGTTTGATTGCCAAGTAGGTTTTCACACCACTTACTACATGTAATATGTGTGAGCTACCTTGAATCTCTTCAAGGGGATAAAAAAAAAAAAAAAATTAAATAAGGACAAAGTGTCAAATAAACAGGAAGTGTTACAGGACAAAGAGCAAAATATTAAAATAATACAAACATGCACAATGTTATTTAAGTGAGACGGACGTACAAATTGTGCAGAAAAGTGCACATTCTTCCCCTGAAGATGTGCAAAGTATCAGTGTGTAGTGTAAACAACTTGAAATGTGCAAAAGGATCCTATTTAAAAGTTGTGTTTATGTACGATGTACCATAAACCTCTCATTTTAGTCACAATGTTGGTATTGAACTTACTCAGAATGTTAGTTCAAAGGTTGTCTATTTCTCCTGATGTTTACTCCATAACACAACGCCTGGAATTCCCAGAAATTACCCTCATCAAGATCACTTGTACGTTTAGGCAATCTTTGTCCACAAGGAGGCGCCCAACCTCTATCCATACAGAGTGAAGCAAACACCATCTCCTAGTTCATGTTCAGTCCATCCAAAAAAACCTAAGTTGTCAGTAATTGGGTTATAATAAGGCAAACGACTGCACATAAACCAATGACTTTGTGTTGTTTTAATTGCAAGTAGCATTAATTATAGTCAAAGTTTCATTTAGGTTATTAAGCGCAGACGACTGCATGAGGCCAACGATAGGCATAGATCCATCCATCCATCATCTATACACCGCTTAATCCTCACTATGGGGGGCTGAAATCTATCCCAGCTGACTCAGGGTGAAGGCAGGTTCACCTGGACAGGTAACCAGTCTATCACAGGGCTACACTTAGAGACAGACAACCAAGCACACTCACATTCACACCTACGGACAATTTACAATCACCAATTAACCTCAGCATGTTTCTGGACTGTGGGAGGAAGCCAGAGAACCCGGAGACAACCCACGCTGCACGGGGAGAACATGGAGACTCCACCGGCGAACCGGCGACCTTCTAGTTGCTAACCATCGAGCCACCTTGCAGCTATAAGGGACACACGTCCACCTCAATATTCTAACTCCACACATTTGTCCCCTTCTAAAGGACATGAAAAAACTTGAAGCCTTGTCTTTTTGGAGAAGGTGCTGTCACATAACTCGTGGACAAAACAATGTGCCGGATAGCACCACGTTCTGAAACACAGATATGTGTGAAATGTTCAAACAAAACCTTCACCCAAAGGGCTAACGTTGCACTTCCTACAGGTTACAATGTCAGGAAGCCATGATGTGAATGTACTCCATGTTAACTGTTTGTGCTACAACAGCGTTTGAAACACACCAACCAGGTTTTGTCTGTGGCCACAAGCAGGAAAAATACCAACACATCAGAGTATGTAGTAAAATAATTTCATTTTATTTTTATGAAAAAAAAAAAAAAATACAAACTGTCACTTGAGCACAAATCACACAGCCTGTAAGGTCCATGAAAACACACAATAAATAGAATGCAAAACATCAAACAACACAAATGCAACCAAACGTAGAAAAACAAACGAATGAGGAGTCAAGTCTAGAGAAAGGAGGCGGAGGTGTATCAGGTATGCTGACATCTCCAGTGGAAACAAACAGACGAGCGAGAACAGGCAGCCTGACGGAGGCGCAGGTCCAGGCATGTTTCCACAGTATTCAAAAAATACACAGCTTTCAGAATTAAAACACACACATTAAAAAAAAAAAAAAACATACAGCTGAAGATTGAACTGAAAATCGACTGAAAACTTGCATTTCGGACCAGCTGTCTAAATACTCGCAAACACTCAAGCACACTGAACACAGTTAACCAAATAAAAGTTTAAAATGGAGCTAAAAACCTCTCTTGAAACCCCAAAAGGGTCAAATACATCGAATCTCTTACAAAGAGAGAGCAACAGAGATACGCTGACAATGCTGAGTTTCTCTAAACATCAGTCTGATTAGAACCTCGTCTTTCCCCAGCTTCTTATACTCGAGTAGTTCCTCTAAAAACACAACTCAGACAACCAATATGCTTTTAGATAGTTTCTACGTAATAAGGCTTCTGATTTATTTGTCTTTTTCTTGCATAGGGTTCCTGAATGATACATTAACCAAAACTGCAGAGCGTTAAAAACCATTTTTACATCTTTCTTTAGCTCAAAACTCAAGGACCTGCAGAGGCACATAGACCAAACCGTCCTGTTTGTATTGCTATGACATCACCGTAGCACAGCAGAGAGGGCGACACGCGGCAACGCTGACAGATAAATAAAACTGATCGGAAAGCATACACTCTGAGAACGCATCGATTCAACACCGTCAGAGTAAAAACCTGCGGTCAGGATAAGCCACATACATTTGAAAATCTGTTGGTATTGCATCTTTATGTGGAAACGAAGTCAAATGCTTGTAGTTTGTTTATGAAACACAGAACAGACTTTGGTTTGGCAGCTTGATATATTGTTCAATAGTTCAGTTTCTCCTTTTCTGATACTGCTCATTCAGTGTATAGCCGTTCGTTTAACTTGTGCTTGACAGCTATACACCAGACGGCAAACAGCTTTGTACTAAATCTCAGCAGCAATAATAGTTGCTATAAACCCAGAAGCTGAATAATAATAAAAATACCTATCGCTTTAAGCCACGGGGAGGCTATATTATCTGCTTACCAAGCTGCTGTTATTGTTCCAGGACACTCCCAAAACACTCATCGACCGCACAAACACAAACCTGCACAGCTCGTCCGTTGTCTTCTGACACTTTCACTTTCAACAGACGTTCTCATCTGTCTTTGCTGCAGTGGTTCTTTAGGGTACGTCTGGGTGTTCTCTAGAACTGACCTGTAACCGCAGCTAGTTTTTAAAACTCTAAATAAATGTGGCATAAATCTGTTAGTATTGCTTACAAGTTCCCAGAAGTTGTACCTCTGAACCTTTACGCCGTACAAAGACGACGTTCTTCACGGACCACAGTGTCGATTCAAAGCACTTTGTCGTGGCTTTAAAATGACAACAGCAATCAAATACTACTGCAAACACTATCTGTTCACACCCTGGTAAAATACTGCAACTCATCACTTTCTACTAAAAACCCTGGAGGAGCAGTTTGAAAATCCATGTCTGACATAAGAACGCGTGTTTACAAAAAACTGAAACAATGAACACTGAAATGCCAAAGAGCAAAAATAAACAATGAAAATAAAACCAACAGCAAGTAAAATCCTGCAAGCTGCTTTCAGGCTGCAATCAGGTAAATGATTTAAAAAAAAACACACAAAAACACAGGAGCCTCTGTGAGCCAGTCCACCTGGTGGTAGCATGCACCCTGGTTACTTGATTTGGGTGGAACTCACATGCCGGATGAGCAATATATGCAGTAAAACTATTAATCCTCGCACCGTCACTGCAACCACGACTGCACCCAAGCCCTTAATGCTGCTCTAATGCAGAGCCAACAACCCAACGTCATCATAGTGTTGTAGAAGTCACTCAGGACATGTGAAAGTGTTTTTGCTGCTTCCTGAAGTGTTCGTGAGGTTCTTCCCAGCAGGGGGACAGGAAGCCTTCCAGCGTCCTGCCTGCTGCTGGCTGGAACCAGCAGGTCACTCCACAGGGCCGCCGCCGCCGCCACCGCCGCCGCTGCTGGCCTTGACCCCGGCCCTGCTGATGTGCAGCCAGGGCAGCTTGGCACAGTTCTTGAAGAGCTGCTCGATGGCAATGTGACGCACGTGCAGCTCCGACGCCAGCGAGTCTTTCTCTTGCACGGCGACCGTCAGCTCCTCGAAGACTTCTGCGAAGGGAGAGAGAGGCAGACGAAGGACGTCAGCGCTTTTATTCACACACAAGGTCGGCTTACGACGGCTGGTAGAAACACACCGGACGAAGAAAATCACTCGTACTGATTTCTGAAGGAGCACAGAGCGAACGCAACACGACTGGAAACGTTTAAGATGCCTCCAAGAAAAGGAGATATATTCACACTGACAACTTTAGTTAGTAAACAGCTGAGAAGCACTAATTAAAAAGAAGAAGCTGCAGGCATGAAAACACTTCGAACACAAAAAGGACTGCAGATCATTAAATATTGGGCATGTGCTATCTGCCAAATTTATCTGAGCAATAACTTCCCATCTGTTCCGAGCAGAGTAATGAAACTATGTGGAGGTGCTTCTCCTGGTCCAGGCACTCGCTATCTCCTCTCACATTTCCATATAGAAGTTGCTTCTTTACAGCGACAAGCGAGATAATTTCACTCCTTTCATCCCTCAAACTAAATGTTAATCTGTCTGTTTCTCTTTGGTGTCGTCTTCTTTCTCCCCTTTAACCTCGTCCCAAGAGTCAGGTGGCCTCTCTGAACCTGGTTGTGTTGCTTTATGCTAAAAACCAGTTTTTCCAGAGCTCAGTTCACTGCAGCTGGTCACATGGAAGGAGATGATGTGTGGACTAGAAACCCTGCAGTCTATATTAGCCCCGGCTTCACTCAGTCTTCTGTTCTGGATGTGGGAGCTCAGAATCAGACTGGGAATGCTGTGCTGCTTTTTCCTGACGTTACCCAATCTGCCGCTGGGATTTCTCAGAGACAGGCATTACATACTGATGCTGTTTTAAATATGAATAACTGAGACTTGCATGTTCAAAGAGAATGGCAGGAAAAAAGACTTACTTTGAATCTGCATCAGGAGCTGAGCGTTCAGCTGATGGAGCTCATCCAAACTCATTTTAGTCACTGAAAGAAAAGAAATGGTTTCTATCAGAGTGTGTGAGTTACAG